ACTCCTGGGCATTTATCCAACAGACTGCAAACAAGGCCACATTAAAGCTACCAGCACAACTATGTTCATTGTGGCATTGTTTACCATAGCCAAAATATGGAATAAACTCAAATACCCCTCAGTGGACGAATGGATCATGAAAATGTGGTATATATACACAATGAAATCCTATGCTTCCATCAGAAAGAGTGATATTGTACCATTTGAAAGGAAATGGGAAGACTTGCAAAAATGATATTAAGTGAAATAAGACAGATCCAAAGAAACATAGATTGCATTGCTTGCCTCATTTATCATAACTTGAACATGAATATAAACCTACAAGTAAGCACACTGGATGGTAAAAAACAAAAAAAAAATACTTGGACATGATAAATTATACAAGTCTGTAGACATTCACACAGTGAGACCAAAGGAGGATATTCTTAGTAGAGGATCACAAAGGCTCAATAGCTATGTGCATCTGATCATACAAAATGATATTTATCTAAATGAACTCCAAGTAATGAAACAAGAAGTGTTGTTTCCCTTTGTTGTTGTTTTGTTTTCTGTTTTTGTTTTCTTTGTCTTGTTTGTAAGTTTATCTGTTTGGGGGAGGGAAAGGAGGGAGCAGAAATGGAAGGACAAAGGAAGAATAAATGAAGCAGTGATACTCACTATACACTATATTGACAACAACTTGTGAGTGGCAGGAGGGAAAAACTATGAAAAAGCAAGGGAAGGAGTGATACTGTTCAAAAAGAAATGTACTCATTAGCTGACTTATATAATTGTAACCCCTTTGTACATCACCTTTACAATAAACATTTTTTTAAAAAGCTTGGCGTGGTGGTTCACACCTCTAATTTCAACTAAGTGGTAAAAGTATCAAGGTCTAAGGTGAACCTAGACAAAAATGTGAGACCTATCAAAAAAAAACAAAAAAAGCAGAAAAGGTCTGAGGTAAGGATTCAAGTATGAGTGCTTGCTTAACAAGCAGAAGGCTCAGAGGTCAAATCCCTGAAATATGAAGGCACACACACACACACACACACACACACACACAAACACTGAACACATGGTGATTTATGGATGCTTGCTCTTTGGGGGGAATTTTCTATTTCTGAAAAATAAGAACTCCCGTCATGTTTTATCTCTAAAATATAAGCAACAATTAATAAACTTGGAAATTTATTAAAGAGAATTACCAAATACACAGGACTAGTAGTAGCCTGGTTGCCATATTAATTAATTATATAGAGAAAGCCTTGGAAGACTTGTGACCCCATTGGGAAACTAAATGCTTTATCTTTAGGTATTAGAGGTATTCCATTGTATGACCGCAAGAATATAATTCTTTTATCAACTTAGTTTTTCTGTCTGTCTAATTGATTTAAGAAAAAAATTGGATATACTAATAGACATTAAAATAATAATGGTGTAGCAAAGACTTTAGTTTTAGGGTCAACCTAGTTTCCCTCCAAAGCAGCAATTAGAAAATGTATTAGGGGGGCTGGGAAGGTGGCTCAGTGGTAGAGCGCTTGCCTTGCATGCATGAAGCCCTGGGTTAGATTCCTCAGCACCACATAAGCAGGAAAAAAAAAGCCGGAAGTGGCGCTGTGGCTCAAGTGGTAGAGCGCTAGCCTTGAGCTGAAGAGCTGAGGGACAGTGCCCAGGCCCAGAATTCAGGCCCCACGACCGGACCCAGAAAATGTATTAGGGGCTGGGAATGTAGCTTAGTGGTAGAGTACTTGTCTAGCATGCTGAGGCCCTGGGTTTGATTCCTCAGTACCACATAAACAAAAAAAGAATTTTAAAAAAGAAAGTATGTTAATTTCAAAAACAGATAATATGTTTTAGAACTGATAGATGCTTCAGGAAAATCCTTTTAGTAAATTCTTTTAATTGTATCTTAAATATTCATTTGACAAATTAACAATTAAAACACATCATAATTTTGGCCAATAAGAATTGTATAGAACTATCTAGGCAATCGGTGGTTCATGCCTGCAATCCTAGCTACTCAGGAAGCTGAGATCTGAGAATCATGGTTGAAAGCCAGCCCAGGCAGGAAAGTCCATGAGACTCTTATCTCCAATTAACCACCAGGAAACCAGAAGTGGCACTGTGGCTTAAGTGGTAGAGTGCTTGCCTTGAGCTGAAGAGCTGAGGGACAGCACCCAAACCCAGAGTTCAAGCCCTACAACTGACAAAAAAATAAAAGCACACAAGAATTGTATAGAACTTATTCTGTGACAAGACTATTTGAGTATCGAGGCACTAGCTCTCATGCCCATAGCTCTAGAGTATAAAGGTAGGTAATAAAACTCATAGGAAATGAAAGTAGAAAATAATATTTAGTTTATTTTCAGGTATAACATGATCTCATAATTTACTATTTAAGTAAAGCACTATGTAGAGGTTAACATGCTAAACTCTCATACTACAGAAAAATTAAAATCAGGTACAATTAAGAAAAAATTAAAAATTTCAAGTATGAGAAAGTGGATATAGGTTATCTTGGATATTATAGATGAGGATCATTCTTTGGTATATTATAGAACATGGAGCAAAATATGGTTACCTGGAAGGGCCTAATTTTCCTTTAGCAGAAAATCAAACTCTTCACAAGGCATTTTATTTTATTGTTATTATTACATATATTTTTTTTGGGGGGGGTCCGGTCGTGGGGCCTGAATTCTGGGCCTGGGCACTGTCCCTCAACTCTTCAGCTCAAGGCTAGTGCTCTACCACTTGAGCCCACAGCACGACATCCGGCTTTTTTCTTTTTGCTTATGTGGTGCTGAGGAATCGAACCCAGGGCCTCAGGCATGCAAGGCAAGCACTCTACCACTAAGCCACCTTCCCAGCCCTCACAAGGCATTTTAATTAGCAGCAAAGTCTATTTAAGCAACATGCATAATAATGTTGTTAGCTTTTAGTCACTGTAACAAAAATATCTGTCCTAAAGCAAAATTACACAATGCAATTCAAAACAAAAAACTTTTAAAATGTTTATTTTTGTGCCTGTACTGGCCCTTGAATTCAGGGCTTGGGCTCCTTCTTGTAGCTTTTTTTTGCCCCATGCTGGCACTCTCACTTCATCCACAGTTCCACTTCTGGTTTTTGGGTTGTTAATTGAAGAGTCCCATGGATTTTCTGTCAGGGCTTGCATTGAACTTTGAATTCAGGCTCCTGAGAAGCTAGGATTTTAGGACTAGTTACTGATGCCCTTCTAGAAAGATTTATTTTTGCTTATGATTTCAGGCTATGGTTGGTTAGCTCTGTGTTTCTGGGCTGGATGTGAAACAGAACATCATGGCAGAAAGTGGTAGCAGGGAAAATATTCACAGAGTTTAGTGGCCAGAAAGCAGAGAGGGGAAAAATATAAATATCATATTATATATTGTATAACATATATTATATATAATTACTTCTCTTCTTCTCTTTTCTTTCTTTCATTTATTTCTTGTTAATATGGAACTGAGGAATAGAGCCTAAGGCTTCATTCATGCTAGGCAAGCACTCTACTACTAAGCCACATTCCCAGCCCAAGATATATTTTTTCAAGAGCATATTCCCAGTTACCTACTTCCTTCAAGTAGGCCCAATCTTCTACTTTCACCACCTTCCAATATTACCAACAATGACAGATCATGAATCTATCAAGGGATTATTTCAATTAGTTAGGCATGCTCAAAATCTAATCACTTGACAAATTCCCATCAGCTTGCAACCAACCTTGTAAAATATGAACCTGGGGGACAGTTCATATACAAACCATAACACACATACCTCCTATACCACAATCAACACTAGCTTTAACTAGAAAGGAAATGGGAATAATGTGGCTTCATCTCATCTTAATGCAACATAGAATATTTTCTTTCACAAATTACTGTAGGACGTACACTACATTTTTCTAGGTAGATCAACTGTTTCATTCCATTAGTAATTTGTGTGTGTGTGTGTGTATGTGTGTGTGTGTGTGTGTCCTATGTTCTCATATTAGGAAAATGGACAGAATAAATAAGACAAAGAGTTCAATCTAGGGCAAGGAATTACTAAGTACACAAAATAGTGAGCTTTGGAAAAGTTAGTCACATCTGAGCAGTTACCTTAATTTAAGAGGTTATTAGTATTAATAAAATTAAATTATAAATGACCCAATGCTCCTATAGAGATCCAACTTAAAAAATAAGTGAAAATGAACAGTAAGAAGTATAAACTGTAACATAGCTCTATGTTCTATAAACAAGTTCTATAAATACATGTTAATGAATACTAGACTGCAAATAGAACACATAAATAAAAGCAAAAATACTAAAGTTGAAGCGAATAATTTTCAGAGTAATTTAAATATTATTTGCAAGTGAGAGGCAGGGCATAATGTTTTGCTTGATATACTAGTTTATTTAGACCGTTTGTCTACCAGACAATTCTGTCCTAAAATGCTTTTTTTTATATAGTCACGTACGTTATAAAGAAGAATCACCCCTTCTCTGAGACTCCAAAATAGAAATAAACCCAGAGCTTTGGTTCCCTTCCAGGCATCTTCATTATTCACAAAAGAAAGACTTGGAATTCTATAGCAGGTAGCAAGTCCTCCTCATTTCTTTGACTTGGATACTTTAAAATCCAGATTATCTGGATTAGTGGGTGGGGTATTTGAAACTTTCCAGAGGACTAAGATACTCTGCTCCCTGCAGTCTTTATCCTCCCGAAATCACCTGGAAGACTAGAAGCTATTCCGCCGCTTTTCGGGCGATTCAATAAACACGGTGTCTTTACGAGGACCCCAAGAACCCTCATTATTTATTTCCAAATCAAAGGCTCTTTTGGAAACATTGCCCGTTTAATCCGGTCAATGTAAACTGGGCAAGAAGACATCTCCCACAGCGCAAGTTGCGCAGGCGCGAGTTAATGAGGCGGTACTTCCCGTCCAGTGTGGGCTGTCACTCACAGTTATTGGCTCCGCCCCGCCGTGACGTAATGCTTTCAGCTTTATTAGGTTTCCGCGGGCTTGCCCGCGCCGGCCAGGGCGCGCGGGTGCGTGTTCGATTGAATGCGCAGAGCTGCGGAATTCTGCAATCTAGTGCCGGTAGCTGCAGGGTCTCCGTGATTCTTCGAGCTGCCTCCTCTGGGTGCTTTTATTGGTAACCGGATCACTTTGCAAGGCAGCAAAAAGAACAAAGGACTCCTGGCTGAATTCACTGATCTACCGGCTTCCTCTTCCGTTTCGCTCGGGCCAGGGCAAGCTACTGTATAATCATCAGTGGGTGGTAAGTACCCGAGGTGGAGAGTGGTAACTGCGCCCCTCCTTTTGAATGTCTTGGTTGGGGAGCTTGTGGATTGAGATTGTTTGCTAAATCTTAATTTCTGTGCCGAAAATCTCTCCGCAGAAGCCATTTGCTTTCCCTGCTGGCTCCGGCTAGCTCAGTCTTCATTGCACGGCAGCGACATCTAGAGGTTGAAACATGGTATTGCGGCTAAGAATCAAGTAAATGAAAATAAATAAGAAGCCAGAGTGTTAATGGTATTTCGTCAGTCATTTAGGGAAAAGACTTGGGATTCACTAAAAATTAAGACAAATTGGACGCTTAGCTGCTTTTCCAATTCGCTGCTGTTCTACTTGAAACTCTTTGTGATTAAAGATAACAGTCCATAGCGTATTGGTCTTTTTAACTGTTTCAGTAGCTTGAACTTTTTAGAGCAACAAGTGTTTGTTAGAGAAGTGAGTCACAAAGAAGAAAAGATGAGTAAGAGCAAAGATGATGCTCCTCATGAACTAGAGAGCCAGTTTATTTTACGCTTACCTCCAGAATATGCTGCTAATGTGAGGAGAGCAGTACAATCTGGTCATGTCAACCTGAAGGATAGATTGAGCATTGAGTTACATCCTGATGGGCGTCATGGAATCGTCAGAGTGGACCGGGTCCCTTTGGCTGCAAAACTGGTAGATCTGCCTTGTGTTATGGAAAGTTTGAAGACCATTGACAAAAAAACCTTTTACAAGACAGCTGATATCTGTCAGATGCTTGTATGCACGGTTGATGGTGATCTCTATCCTCCTGTGGAGGAACCAGTTGCTACTGCTGATCCCAAAGCAAGCAAGAAAAAAGATAAAGATAAAGAGAAAAAGTTTGTCTGGAACCATGGAATTACTTTGCCTCTAAAAAATGTTAGAAAGAGAAGGTTTCGGAAGACAGCAAAAAAGAAGTATATTGAATCTCCAGATGTGGAAAAAGAAGTCAAGCGATTGCTTAGTACAGATGCAGAAGCTGTCAGTACTAGGTGGGAGATAATTGCTGAAGATGAAACGAAAGAGACAGAAAATCAAGGACTTGATATCTCCTCTCCAGGAATGTCTGGCCACAGGCAGGGCCATGACTCATTAGAACATGATGAGCTTCGAGAGATATTCAATGACCTGAGCAGCAGCAGTGAAGATGAAGATGAGACACAGCATCAAGATGAAGAAGATGTAAACATCATTGACACAGAGGAAGATCTAGAGAGACAGCTACAGGATAAGCTAAATGAGTCAGATGAACAGCACCAAGAAAATGAAGGAACCAATCAGCTGGTTATTGGAATTCAGAAACAGATTGACAACATGAAAGGCAAGCTCCAAGAGACCCAGGACAGGGCAAAACGACAAGAGGATCTCATTATGAAAGTAGAAAACCTGGCTCTGAAGAACAGGTTTCAGGCTGTGCTAGATGAACTCAAGCAAAAGGAAGATAGAGAAAAGGAGCAGCTCAGCTCTTTGCAAGAAGAGCTAGAGTCACTTCTAGAGAAGTGAGAACATTGATACTTAATTTCAGTCCCCAGACTGGTTAGCATAAAACTTTCCTCACTTGGACTGGGTATTAAGACATTGCAATAGTTCTTATCTACTCCAATACTAAAAGTTGTGTTGAATTATCTGTCAATTTTCAGAACCATATTACTGGGTTGTACATTCTTTAGGATTTTAGGATTGCATAGGCAGAATAATGCTTGTTTTAGTAGGTTGGCATCATGTAATGTTAGTGATCTAAAAGTGACAAGATTAGTGAAATTAATAGTTGTTAAGATTGATGAAAGTTGTAAGATTAGTGACATAAACAGCTCAGCCTTAAACAGCTTCACTGAAAAACTTTTGCTATTGTTTTTCTGTTTTCCAGAAGCTGCTATTGCTACTCTATGTTGTCATGTAAGATCATGAAGAAAAAACTAGTCTGGAAACAATAGAGCTAGTTTTAAATTATCTTTTGTCATATAAATGCTATTTACTACTTAAAGCTAATTCTCATATGTAGAGATGTGAATAATATAATTTTTATAACAATAAAAGCAAATATTTTCACTTTATAATATATCTTGTTCTTTCATGGGTAGTAGGAGTTGAGGTGGATTCTTGGGAGTTTAATTATTAAAAAATGTGATTTTGTTTTGCAGGCAAAGCAGATCTGTTGGGGGTTCAAAAAAAGAGGAATACTGCAAGGGCAGAGAAATTGAGAAGTGTCATCTTTGCATTCTATTAAGGTCCAGTGCACCTGCTCCAATTAGAGGTTGGGAATATTAGCTGAAGTTTTTTTCTATACCACTCTTAATTTTCCTAAATGAAACCCAGATATATGCGTCTTTCCAAAAGCACTAAGATTATCTGTATAAATATTGGAAGCAAAGAAACCAACAATGGCTGTCAAATACAGTTCATTGAACTATCCCATTGATTTAGATTAAGATTATATTTCTTATTATTTTTAGTTTCTGTACTTATCCATTATTCTGACTAATGAAGAAAATATCTATATTATTTCTAAAATAGCACATCAAGGAATACATTGGTACCATTGGGCTGATATTTCAATTCATACTTCTCTCTTTTTACTCTTTTGTTGTTGTTGGTTATGGGGCTTGAACCCTGGGTGCTGTCTCTGAGCCTCTTCATGCTCAAGGCTGGTGCTCTACCACTTGAGCCACAATGCTACTTCTAGTTTTTGAGCGGTTAATTGGAGATAATAGTCTCATGGGGACTTTTTTTCTTCTTGGGTTGGCTTTGAACTTCATTCCTCAGATCTCAGCCTCTTGAGTAGCTAGGATTATAGGCATGAGCCACCAGTGCCTGGCTCTCTCTTTTAATAGTAGGGTAACAGAGTTTATGTAACCATCTAAAAGTAAAGGCTGCTCAGGAGAATGAGCAGCAGGACCCAGAAACTAGTTGCCCCTCAGTTTTATATTCTCCTAAACTTAACATTCTCTGAAGAATTTAATATTTCATACTTGAGAACTATTTTTTTTTTTTTTTTTTTTTTTGTCGGTCGTGGGGCTTGAACTCTGGGCCTGGGCGCTGTCCCTCAGCTCTTCAGTTCAAGGCGAGCGCTCTACCACTTGAGCTACAGCGCCACTTCCTTGAGAACTATTTTTGAAAAGCCAGTTATATAATGTTGAGTTGCAACTCATTTCTGACTGATTAAATTTCAGTTTGAAGACAGTCTCATGAAGTAAATGAGGTAAAACTTATCTTTGTTTTCTGTTTGACAGGAAACAGTCATGAAGTGTTTTTAAAAATCAATTGTCGGGCTGGGAAGGTGGCTTAGTGGTAGTAGAGCGCTTGCCTTGCATGCATGATGCCCTGGGTTCGATTCCTCAGCACCACATAAGAAAAAAGAAAAAAGCCGGAAGTGGTGCTGTGGCTCAAGTGGTAGAGCGCTAGCCTTGAGCTGAAGAGCTGAGGGACAGAGCCCAGGCCCAGAGTTCAGGCCCTAGGACTGGATCCCGCCCCCCCCCCCAAAAAAATCAATTGTCAAAAATTAATCTGTGGTAATTCTTGTGAATATTCAGAGGCTTTACAACAGTAATTTTTTTTCTCACACGTGATCATTACATTTTACCAAAATATTTCCACAAACTTAAGATTTTAAAATAGAGGAAGCAAGTTCCCTTCACTATCTAGCTTTGGAGTATTTCTTGAGGTTTGTAAATAATGAAAAGCAAGTTTTCAGAATGGAGCTGTACCTGGTTCCAGTGGCTCACGTCTTAGGATTGTGGTTCAAAGCCAACCCAGGCAGAAAAGTCCCCATGAGACTCTTTAATAAACCATTCAAAAACCAGAAGTTAAGTGGTAGAACTCTAGCCTTGAACATAAAGAAGCTCAAGGACAGTGTCCAGACCCTGAATTCAAGCCCCACAACCAACAACAAAAATGGAAGTGGAGTGGTGGCTTAAGTGGTAGAAAAGCCTTGAGTGAAAAAGCCAAAGGACAGTGCGGAGGCTCTAAGTTCAAGCCCCAGTACCTGCCCCAAAAAATGAAAGCAAGTTTTCTTAACATGTTAGGTGACAGGTAATAAATTCTATTGAGTATGGCTAAGTACTTTGCTACACTTAAAAGATTGACACTGGAACAGTTACAATCATATTTGATAGTGCAGTGGATCATTTATCAAAATATTTATTCTTACCAGGCTCTGAACACCAGTGATAACTGAGTTCTAGCAATAATGGAAAGGAAAGATTAGCTAAGTACACTGGACAGAACAGCCTCCTGATCTCATTTCATTACTCCTTGTTCACTTATTAGCTGTTTGGATCATTAAGTCCACTTTTTAGGGTGGATTTAAAATGTATTTTAATGAAAATACCTTCTCAATAAATGAAAGTGACTTGCATTTGTAATCTGAAGTTGCTATGGCATCAGGATTATGCTCCTTGCTGAAGAGGCTCTTTAGATTCTACCAAAAAATATGGAATGCTTCACAAATAGGCATGCCATCCTTTCACAGGGGTCATGTTAATCTTTGTGTCATTCCAGTTTTAGTGCATATGCTGCTAAATCCACATTTTTTTTTTTTTTTTGGTTGGTCATGGGGTTTGAACTCTGGGCCTGGGTGCTGTCCCTCAGCTCTTCAGCTCAAAGCACTTGAGCCACAATGCCATTTCTGGTTTTCTGGTGGTTTGTTGGAGATGAGTCTCACGAACTTTCCTGCCCAGGCTGGCTTTGAACCATGATCCTCAGATCTCAGCCTCCTGAGTAGCTAGGATTACAGGCATGAAACACTGGTGCCCGGCTAAATCCACATTTTTAAACTATCTTGTCTGGAGTTTAGATTTAGTTTATTAACTATGTATACTTGGAAGTATTCCTCAGGCAGCTCAACTCAGTACTCAAAATAAAACTGGTCCTCATTCCCTAAAAACTTGCTCTCCTTCTGGGCTCTTCTGTATTTTGATGAAAATAATTGCTACTCCATATACCTCAGCTATTGAAACCAGAAGCTTGAGCCCTAACTTTTTTTTTTTTTTTTTTTGGCTAGTCCTAGGCTTGAATTCTGGGCCTGGGCACTGTCCCTGAGCTTTTTTTGCTCAAGGCTAGCACTCTACCACTTGAACCACAGCTCTACTTCCAGCTTTTTCTGTTTATGTGGTACTGAGGTATGGAACCCCGGGCTTCATGCATGCTAGGCAAGGACTATCACTAAGCCACATTCCCAGCTAACTTTTTTTTCTTTTTGGATATGGATTTTTTTAATTTAATTTTTAATTTTAATTCAATTTTTTTTTTGCTGTTCCTGGGGCTTGAACTCAGGGCCTGATCACTATCCCTGAGCTTTTGTGCTCAAGGCTAATGCTGTATCATTTGAGCCACAACTCCACTTCAGGAATTTTTTTGCTTGTTTTTGTAACTAATTGGAGATGAGTCTCATACACTTTCCTGCCTGGCTTGACTTTGAACCACAGTCTTCAAATCTTAGTCTCCCTGCATAGCTAGGATTCCAGGTGTGAGCCACTGATGTTTGGCCTGCTGTTGACATTCCTTTTATTTTTTTAAAAAAAATTTATTGTCAGAGTGATATACTGAGGTGTTACAGTTACGAGGTAGTAATTACATTTCTTGTCTAACTTGTTACCCACTCCTTCATTTTTCTCTCTGCCCCAATCCCGCCTCTCCCCCCTCCCCCAAGTTGTACAGATCATTTCCAACATACTATCTTGTGAGTATCGCTCTTGCATAGGTTCCCACTTTGTCCTTTGTCTTACCATTTTGTTCCTCTTCCCTAGTTCAGATAAACATATATACAATACCCAGGCTACGAAAATCGAGTATGGTGACAACAGGAGACAAACCACAGGTGGAAAAAAACAAAAACACAAAAGAAAAAAGAAATCACATAGTACATTGAGAAGAACAAGAACAACAGAGAAAAACCTCTTGTGTCCATGTCTTGGAGTTCATTTCTAGCATCATCTTATATGGTCATATGTACATAGCTATTGAGCTGTTCTGCTCTAAGATTATACTATGTGCATACTAATTAAGACCACACATAGAGCTCCCCTATGATGCAGTAATCCCACTTCTGGGCATTTAGCCAAATGACCACAAACAAGACCACACTGCAGCTAACAGTTCAACTATGTTTATCTCAGCATCATTATTTACCATAGCTAAGATATGCCCCTCAGTAGATGAATGGATCAAGAAAATGTGATGTGTGTGTATATATATACATACATATGTATATACATATATACATATATATGTATATACATATACGTATATGTATATACATATGTATGTATGTATATACATATATGTATATATGCATGTATATACATATACATGTATATACATATATATACATGTGTGTATATACATATGTATATATACATATATGTATATACACACACAATGCAATTCTGTGCTTCCATCAGAAAGCATGACACTACCCCATTTGTAAGGAAATGGAAGGACTTGGAAAAAAATCTTATTAAGTGAAGTAAGCCAGACCTAAAGAAACACAGATCCCTGTTTTCCCTTATTTCTAATAATTAACTTTTGACTTGCCCTTTTCCCTCACTGCAGCTTCAACTTGTAAAAAGCCCTTCAATTGCTCCAGGTCATCCTGACATTGTCCTAATACAAGCCATTTTTAAATTTTCTCCATGCCTAAAATTCTTCACTGGTTTGCCATTGCTCCTGGAGTTGTTTATATTTCTTTATTAAAAAAAAAAAGTCTGGGCTGGACACATGCCTTTAATCCTAGCTAGTCAGGAGGCTGAGAGCTAAGGATCACAGTTCAAAGCCACCCCAGGCAAGAAAGTCCTTGAGACTCTGATCTCCAGTAAGTCACCCAGAAAACTGGAATTGGCGCAGTAGCTCAAGTGGTAGAGTCTAGCCTTGGGCTGAAGAGCTGAGGGACACAGTCCAGCCCCAGAGTTCAAGCCCCACGAAGACAGAAGACCGGCTTAACACAGTTCCTCTTACCCTTATCCCCTCACTCAAGGATTAATCCAGCCCAAGCCTAAACAGGTATTTAAAGTGTTTAATCCTCTTCTTCGAGCCTCAAGCCTATAAACAAGCTGTTCAGCCTACCAGGAAGATTCTCCCCTTTGGCTAAATTCCATTTTCAGGTCTCAAATTTCACCCAGTTATGACTTTGCCTGTACTCTGTGCTTTCCCCTCATCATCCCTTCCACTAATATTTACTGTGCCATACACAGTACATGAAGTGTCGAATAATCTCATTTACTTTATAGTCCACTAGAATACTTTGCTATATATTATACAAAAGTGTAAAGTACTTGATGAATTAAGGAGCTCCTAAAATAGTATAAAAGTGTTCACACACACACAAAAACAATTATATCTTTGGTTGGGGTTCTTCAAGTCGGCTGGCTCTGGGATCACCACCAAGTTCAAGAAATATTTTTAAATGTGGTTGACTGATTAAGTTGCACTGTTTTTCTAAACCAGTGTTTCTAAGTTGCTACAGAATGTATTTCAACTACATTTTATTTGAATGTAGCAGAACGTATTTCAAATATAGAATGTATTTTCTTTGAATATAGAATGTATTTATTTTTAGTACATCCATAATACAAACAAATCAACACAGCTTACTATTGTAGCTTTATAGTAAGTTTATGGACAGCTTTCAATTAATATTTGAAATATATTAGTGGGGTTAAGTATTATACTTTTTTTTATTTTGAGGCCAGCCTTGGGGCTTGAATTCAGGGCCTGGGCACTGTGTCTGAGCTTTTGTGCCCAAGGTTAGAGCTCTATCACTAGGGCTACAGTTCTGGCTTTTTGGTGGTTAATTGGACTTTTCTTCCCGGGCTGTCTTTGAACCACAATCCTCAGATCTCAGCTTCCTGAGTACCTAGGATTATAGGCATGAGCCAACAGCACTCAGCTGTTACACATAATTTTTATAGTTTAGATGTCTGTTCAACCAAAAATAGTATCTATATCAATTTTAAATAGCTAATGGAGTTACTATTATACAGTACAAATTATTGAATTCTTCAGTGAGGGAAGTATAAAACTGTTCATTCTAATTCCTGAAGTGTTTACCAATTTGATTTCCTTCCCTCCCTCCCTCCCCCCCCTTTCTTTCTTTTGTCTGCCCCTTAGCTTTTTCACTCTTGGCTAGCACTCTACCACTTGAGTCACATCTCTACTTCTGACTTTTTACTAGTTAGTTGGAGATAAGTCTCACATACTTTTCTGCCAGGTCTGGCTTTGAACTGTGATCCTCAGATCTTAGCCTCCTGAGTAGGTAAGATTATAGGCTTGAGCCACTGGTTCAAGTTTGATTTCTGATAAACTAAGGAACTAATACAAAAGCAACTGATTACTTATCTTGTACCTTTTTAAAAAAATAGGTCCTGTGTATACTTTAAAAAATAATGTACCAGATAATATTAATGGACATTTAAGTCATAATCAGTAAAGTGCTAAATGCACATCTAGATAATGATAGGACTTTCACAATAAGCATTAAAATGTATTTCCTTCTCCTGAGGGTGAAATTAAACATAAAATTCCTTAACTATAACATGAAGGATTTAAACATCTTGAGATTTTCTAGCTTGAAATGGCAGGTATTTCTTTTTTTTTTTTTGTCAGATGTGTGGCTTGAACTCTGGGCCTGGTCATTGTCCCTGTGATCTTCAGCTCAAGGCGAGCACTCTACCACTTGAGCCACAGTGCCACTTCCGGTTTTCTGGTGGTTTATTGGAGATAAGAGTCTTATGGACTTTCCTGCTGGAGCTGGCTTTGAAACATGATCCTCAGATCTCAGCCTCCTGAGTAGCTAGGATTAAGGGGTAAGCCACTGGTGCCCGGCTCACATCTCATTTCTTTATCAGAAAGTCTGCTCAAATAACAGAAGTTCAAGAAGATGGTGGCTGCAATGACAAGGATAAGAACAGTGAATGAGACATAAACACCATTTTTAGAAGGCCAATGCAAATGGAGAAATAATAAGTGAATTCAGAGATGAGAAAGTTAAATACTAAATAAGGTTATATTGGAGTCAAATCCACTTGATATTGAACCTGTGAGGTGAGCCAGGTGCCAGTGGCTCATACCTGTAATCCTAGCTATTAAGGAGGCTGAGATCTGAGGATCACAGTTCAAAGTCACATCTGGCAGAAAGTATGTGAGTCTCTCATCTTCAATAAACTACTCAAAAAAGCCAGAAGTGGCACTGAGGCTCAAGTGGTAGAGTGTTAGCCTTGAGCTAGGAACAGTGCCTATGCCCAGAGTTCAAGACCCAGGACCAGAAAAAAAAAGTGCACACACACACACACACACACACACACACACAGCCTGTGAAGTAATATTTCTCTTAACAGAACATTCCAGGAAAGTATGAGGCTAGAGTCATGGGACTTAAAAGTGAGCTCAATGTGGTTGGATGTTCAGGATCCCTATCCTATCCTATGAAGCTGTATAACTTCCCTGTCTCCAGAGGATATTTTCTGAACTTGTGTGGAGATATAACAAGGAAATTCCCTCTCCCACTTCAATAACTGATACAAGCCAAGATTGG